GCAAACAAAAAATAAAATAAACAAAACAAAAAATGGGCGGTAGGAAGGCAGGAGGGAGGGTGTGAAGGTAGGAGGGGCAGACTCACACACACATGAAATAAAATTAAATACAAAGATAGATAATTTGTGTGTGTATATGCTGAGTGAATATGCCAACACTTTATTTTCGATTTTTTAAAATAAGGAAGTGTGAATAGGTTGGTGGTTTTGCATTTAATTGTAGTATTCAAATCCACAATATATAACCAAAAAAAATTAATTTGAAATAAATTGAAATAAAACAAAATTTTTTACTAAGTATCATCGTGATTCGGTGAATGAAAGATGAACATGATGATCATGATTTTGGGGGCACGTGTGAGGCATACAATGTTTTTTCTTAATTTGAATACTGAGGGGAACAATAAGAAAACCAAAACAAAAATAATCGACTAGTATTTTATTTGAATTCCTGTAGAGAAACAAAAACAAACAAATATTTTGCAAAAAAAAAAAAAAAAACAAACCAGAAGGAAATGAATTGATATTTAAAAAAAAATGTTTTATAGGTTTTTTATAGCCATGAAAAATGAGTGACTGACAAAAAAACAACACACTTTGAAAAAAAAAATATTTTTTGAAAGGAACAATACTTAAGTATTTGACGTTTTTTTTCAGTGACGCAAAATTTAAATTATGTTTTGCTGGTGTTATTTTTATTTTTAAGTATTTTTCAAATAAATTCCCAAATGTTGCTAAAAATAATATTCGAAAACAGCAAACAAACACTGACAAACAAAAAAATAATTTATGTAGAAAAGAAAAGCGAAATAATTTAAGCGCATAGCGGAATTAGGAAGTCTCATTGTTTCTTGTTTACAATTTAAGGTCTTTGACTTTGTTTTTGGGCTTTCTTTTATTCTCTCTTTTTCTTATTTTGTTTTTTTTTTAATATTTACTTTTTTATATTAAAATATATGTTTTTTAAATATTAGAAATGTGTTCCATAATTTTGGATCTATTTTTGGATTGCTAATCAAAATTAGGTCAAGTTATTTTAATAATTCGAACTGATAAAGATTTTTTTTAAAGAATTACAGTCGAAAGGTCCGCAAATTTTTAATTACACTTTTAAATACTTAAGAACTTTTTTCCTCGATGATAGCCTTTAATTAATGAAACTGGACAAAGAATCCTTTAAATATGTCTTAACGATTACTCAGGATACAAAGCTTATTTATAAACCAGTATTGTCGAAACGTGCCGACTATATGATACCCTGAAAAGCTACAGTTTAACTTTAACATACTGTCGAGCCAAATCCCGAGTCCAAAAAAAAGTTGACGGTATTAACATTATTTGGTAATGGTAATATTAAACCAGTTATGGACCGACATGGGAGGTCCTCTTGCTTCTATAGATTAAAGGTCAACCATCCCACCTTCATAAAGTGATTGTTTTCCGTGTTCCGCAATAACACTATGCGACAAAATCGAGGTCACGGTCTGGGTGTGGAAAATTCCTATTGGGGTTGAATGACCTTGGTGAGTATTTGAAACCCCCAGATGGAAAAATTCGCCATAGGTCAAAGTTCGGAGATATGGCGTGATAATTTTTTACTGGTGACTCTATTATACTTAAAGAGATAGATTCGTATCTTTTCAATAAAATCGAATCAAGTTTTTTCAGAATAGTTCGTCCATCTAACTTATTTCCTTGTGTGTATTTTTCGTCTCTAATTTATTGAACGGGACTCCAATTATCACAAGATGTGATTTTTCATCCCCACAATATTCTACAAAAATGTTGCTCATAAGATTTTAGGCGAGGTCCTAAAAGACAAGAAATCGATATTTTCACATTTTAATGGTCAATTCTCTATTTTACGCGTTTCATGTCAATAAACGTCTATATGTAGGGTTTTCAATAAATTCATTATATATTCTGTAGGATTCGTCCTATGGCGAATTTTTTCTTCTGGGGTTTTTTTATACACACCAAGGTCTTTCGTCCCCCAGATTTGGGATCACACAAACTTTTAATACCCTGGCAACATAGTTGAGTAGAGTATAAAAATGAAATTTGATAAACCCAACTCAAATAGGTTGAATAATTTAAAAATTTGTCCTCCAAAACCATTAACCATCAAATAGTGAAATATTTTAAATAAAATTGAGGTGTATTAGCAAAAAAAAAACAGGGACATTAAAAATACCTAAAACCGATCGGAACCCTTATAGGGGACCTATATCAAACTATATATTTCCCTGAGGCCATTACAAAGATTTACAGCTAGAAGAATATTCCGACGTCTTTTACACCTAAGATGATTTCTAAGCCTACTATGCACACTACTTAGGCTTGAAGGCCTTCTGGACTTCGTTACAGATTCTAGAGATATTTTATGACTAGAATATCTTTCATGAGGAAATCGAGTTTATCACCACCTCTAAGTTTTATATTAATTTTGTTTATGTCTTCTAGGTAAATTTTTTTATTCTCATAGTTTTCAGAAGGAATTTTAGAGATTTTCAGCAGATGTATTTGTCTTCGTCGATTACTTGTTCAGTAAAATTGGAGTCACTTCGGTTGAAAAATACGCCTAGGACCACCATAAAATGTATCGGGTCCTTTTTGTGGGGATTATGCCAAAAATTTAATATTGAACTCTTTCTACTTAGATTTCTTTCACCAACTGAAAATTTAAAATGCCAAATTAAATATTTCGTCGATTACTTCTTCAGTAACATTGGAGCCACTTCGGTTGAAAAATACACCTCGGACCACCATAAAATGTATCGGGTCCTTTTTGTGGGGATTATGCCAACAATTTAATATTGAACTCTTTCACCAACTAAATTTCTTTCACCAACTAAAAATTTAAAATGCCAAATTAAAGTCCCCTTTGTTGAAAAATACGCCAAGGACCATCAACATATATATAATTGGTCGGGACCTTTATCTTTAAAATTTTAGGTAGAAAAATGTGCAATGCAGTGACAATTCGGTTGAAAAACATATCTGAAATTTGTTGTTGAAAGTTATGGTTTCAATATTTGGTACCAAGCCGCCTCGACGCTTAAGCGCAGCTTGCAGCTGGAAGAGGATGTATGGCTCTGGGCATCTGCTATGGTAGACGGGGATAATAGGCGGAAGGACATGTAAAAATAGTACAAGGAGAACTTCTACGACATATGTCACAATGTTTTCTATAGACCTTACTTCTTGTAACTTTTAGAAATTCCCCATTTGATATATCGATCCATGGTCCATTAAAACGAAATTCTCCTTTTCTTATTCTTTTTTGAACCTTCTAATATAAATTTCGGTCGTTTGGTTCCTAAAAATCCATATATATTTTTAATAGACTGTACTTTTCATTTCGCTCAATCATTCATCAGACGTGTGTTGCGACTTTCTTATCGTGAAAGGTGCGCCTGTACTAAAGGCATCACAGTTTAGTTTTTTGTTAAATAATTTGCTAAAAAACGTGCCATGGGCGACTGCGAAATTGTTATGCCATGTTCTGACGAGCATCCGAACAACGTAGTTCGCTCTCAGAATTACGTACATGAATTAACCCGTTCATACAACACTATTCATAATTCATATCATCAGAGTTTTTTATTTCAAACTTTTTGTTTCTTGTTTTACACCAAAAATGTAACATATTTTAGTGAATTAGGGATCTAAATAGAAAAAATAATTCTCTTTCTCCTGACTATAGTATGAACCAATATCTATTTACTTTTCATTCATGTTTTCCATTTTTTCTGAAAATGTTGTTGTTTTTTAATACATTTTTATATTTTCTCAATTCAAATGTCACATACTGTCATAAATAAGAATTTGGAGAATTTTTTGTTTGAGTTGCCCCACATTTGTTTCTTGTTTTGTACGCTAATTAGAACCAAGGGAAAAGAAATGCATATTGCATTATGTAGAAAACAAAATTTACATCCTGCTGCATATATAAAAACTATACAATTTTTTACTTTTCATTCATGATTTTCAATTTTACTGACAAAGTTTGAAAATTTCATAAATATTTTCAAACTGTCAAAATTAATTTATTTTCGATAAATACTCTCAATTGTTAGGGATGGGACATATATATTTTTAATTTATTGGTTATTCAGAGAGTGATTCGAATTGAACAACGTACAAAAGTCGGTGTTCGCTCAGACAATTTTGTATGGGGAACTAAGTGATTCCTTCATAATTAAGGGTCGAACAACAAATGAGAGAGCGAACAACGCTCGTCTGTACATGGCATTATTATTTTTGTTGTAGTTTTGTTTTTTTTTTTTTATTTGATAACCAACAAACAAAAATATAGTTCATGTTCATATAGTACACAAGTACTTAATTTTGTACAGAGAGAGTTTTAAATTTCACCGCAAAATAACACTATAATCCAGGGACGTGTGGTATATCTTATTTGATGAGGCTGAATCCGCTTGTAGAATTAAAAAAATCAGGATAATGGATTTTACAGAAAGTTTTGTAGGTATTTTGGGGTTCCCTGTCGAATTTTCCAACCGATGTGGCTGTAATCTGGCATTTTGGCTACTCATAAAATGAAATGACTTGTAATTACTTTTTTTTTTCTGGTATCACATAGAGTAGGGTTTAAAAGGTTTATGCAGGACGAATTTAGCGGATTTTTTACTTAATCTTTCTATAAAGTATATTCCACCATTTGACAGAAATATTTTTATTTTTCTCCCCTAAAATCTAAAAGTATATATTCACCCTGAACGCTTTCCACCTCCAATCATATCAAAACCTATAAAGCATACATTCCCTTTATAACACCTACCCATATCACTCTGCCCTGCCTGCTGTATTTTATATATTTTCAAAATAAAACACTTAGCCTTATTTTTTTTAATTTTTATTTTTACTTTTAACCTGCAAAAACAAAACTAATTTTATAATTCGATTCCGAACGACAACAACAAAAAATCAAAACTCAATTCCAAAAACCAAAACAAAAAAAATCCGCAACTTCATCACAGATCAAAAAGGCATGCCAAACGATTACCATTTCTAAGTGATGATAATACCGATTCTGAAGATGAAGATTTTTGTACCGATGATTCGGAAGATGAGTACAGCAGTGGTTGTGGTGGCAAAGCGAGACGTGGTAAACCCAGACGTAGTCTATCCATGCAATCGAATCAAGGAAAACAACAAAATGCAGCATCCTCTTCGTCGTCATCGTCCTCCTCCTCGTCGTCATCTTCATCGTCGCCGCCCACGAAGAATTTGAGTTACTATCACCATCAGTATAATAATTACAGTCATGGTATGCATGGCATTAAGCGTAAAAAGATTGAAGCCATCCCGCCGGTGGATTTGGACAATGATGATGCCTGTAGTGAAGATGCCTTCATAAGGAAAATTGCCAGTGCCAATGGTAGCAATAGCGGCAGCAGCAGCAGCGGTAAAGAACAGCCACAATCCGCCGCCGCCAACACGGCCAATGTTACCCAAGTAATTGTCCAGAAGCCGCCAAGGTCTCAAGCAGCAGCCTCAAAGTAAGATTTTGTTGAAAAAAATGATCTATAGTTTTTTTTCTCTTTTAGAAAACCAAAACAAAAACTATGAACTTTCAAAATTCTTTAAAAACCACTTCGTTATTTTTTCAAAAAATTCTCCTCAACTATTTTCTGTAAAAATTACCTTGTAAATTATTTTTTTTTGCTAAGACTTGTAATTTATATTTATTTTATATTTATTTTTTGATTGCTTGCCCGCCTATCTTAACTCTTTTGGTTCATGGTCCATGCACAAACACACACACCTTCACAACCATGCCACATCTTTCACTCATACACACCCACTTTCATACATTTCTCATTCTATGTAAATTTGTATCAATTGTGCTCCTCCCATTTCCCCCTTCTCACCATTCCATCCATTGCTCTTTTTGTATTGAATCCAATATCTTTGTGTTCTATTTCAGATTTATTGCCAATGGTTCACGCGGACTAACCCGTGTCGCCCATAAACGTCAACCTGCCACACCGCCCAACAGTGTTGCCACATCATCGGATGGTCGTGTCCAAATGGAAATTGTGTCACAGCCCGAGCAACAGCATAGAGCCAGGTAAGATACTACAACAACTACAAACAACAATGTAATTAATCGCCAACAAGAATAACTAGTTTAAAGAAAACATGGAAAAAATCGTTATTCCAAATTTGGTCATTAAGTCCGGCAAGGTCTCGACCAGGACAAGATATGAGAAATAAATTAAAATTCCGATAGAAAATTTGACTGTAATTTGATATATTACAAATTTGTTAATTAAAATTAATAAACATTTAGTCATTAAGTTCGGCATGGCCTCCGCCATGAGGCCATAAATTAAAATTTCCGGTGGTATCATTACCTATATTTCTGGAAAAATATATGGACTCATAATTTGAAATCTCCGTCCGTAATACTTCCTTACAGCCATTGACATAGCCCTTATATAAGGGTTCCGATTGATTTTAAGTATTTAAAGGCCCTAGCATTATTGTACATCCGATTTTACTATATTAGAAAATATTCATGTAGGTTTTGACATAGGTCCTTTTAAAGGTTCCAGACCCTTATTTAACTGAAATGTCTGTAATTTGAAATTCATGACAAATTGGTCATAAACATTAATAAAAATTCGGTCGTTAAGTTCCATCAGAAGCTAAGAAAAATAAATTCCGGTGCTATAATTTTATATATTTATAGAAAAATCTATGGACTTATATTGCAGATTTCTACACGGAAGGATTTTTCCAAACTATACCCAACTTCGGTGGAAAATACAGTCACAGTCTTTATATAAGGACTATATCAAAATATAGATCTATGTCTGTTGCAAAATTATTCCCAAACAACTCGAAATACCAAACTACAGTCATTTCGGTAGAAAAATGAAGCTAGGATTTCAATATACTTAAAATTTGAACGAGACCGATTGTAAAATTCGACTAGAACTATCAAAAAATCCACTAACAGTCGGGACCCTTCTACGGGACCTACGACAAAATATAACCTCTATTAAAAACCAGTGAGCGGAGCAGTAAAATCGGACGGGTTTGACCATATGATACCCTACGCAACTCCCACCGAACTGTAATTTTCTGCAGATCTATATTCCGAGCCTGGGCGAAATATCGCAATATTTGAACTCTCTGAATCAAGTAGAAGCCGACCAGCTTATATTTCTGACCCTGGCACCTATTCCGAATCATTTTTCATGGAGTAAATATTAGATTGGGGAAAAAGAAATCCGTCGAACATGTCGAAAATCGTTGAACATGGCGATAAATTCGGAGAAATGATCGAAGTTGACCGGTATGTTAGCAGCCGTAACATCGCTCAGGAGTTAAAAATCGACAATAAAACTGTTTAAACAATTTATACAAAAGCTGGATTCAAAAAGAAGCTCGATGTTTGGGTGGCACACCAATTAACAGCAAAAAAAAATAGGATGGATCGAATTTCCATCTGTGAAGCTTTGGCCAAACGGAATGAAATAGACCCATTTCTTAAACGCATGGTGGCTGGAGATGAAAAATTGATCACATACGATAACCCTGGGCGAAAACGATCGTGGTCAAAGAGCGGTGAAGCACCTGAAACAATGGCCTAAGCAGGACTAACGGGCAGGAAGGTTCTGTTATGTATTCGGTGAGACTGGAAGGGGATTATTTGTTATGAGTTGCTAAATTTTTGATTTCTAATGTCAAGAACAAACGGCCAGATTTGACCAACAGGAGACGTGCCGTGTTCCACCAGGACAACGCTAGGCTACACACATCTACAGTGACTCGCCAGAAACTTCGGGAGCTTGATTGGGAAGTTTTAATGCATCCGCCATACAGTCCGGACTTGGTATCAAGCGATTATATTTTTTATGCATTGCAAAATTTAAAAATTATACTGGACATACAGACGTACACACATGTCTAGATTGACTCAGGTAGTCGATATATAGCGATGGATGGTCTAGGATCAATATTTCGCGGCGTTACAAACTCTTGGGACTGCACAAAGCTGTATTACCCTGACAACATAGTTGTGTCGGGTAATCCGTAAGAAGTGTCAAATTGCAGACAAATTGGAAAATAAAACTAGGGTCTTTAAAACCTAGTTTGGAAAATTTGCCGCCGGGAGATTTTTTTTATTCCATTTGGTAGGTTATTTTTTATCAGACTTCGTACATTAAAAAATTTCGGCCAATATGCTCTTTATTATTATTTGTGAAGCCTAACTTTCAAATTATAAAAATTTAGTTTGACAAAAACGATGCGAACTTTCAGATATGAGCTATATCAAAATATGGACTTATATTATAATACCAAGAGTACTGTTACCCTCTAAGAATATACAATTCCAGATTGAAACACATTCGATTAAAAAAAACGACTGGGACTGGGAACATCAAAAAACCGCAATTCCTATAATACGGAACGGATTCTTTTATGAGGACAAGAAAGGGACTTTTATTGAAAATGTTTTAACAGAAAGTGCTCTTTGTGAAGCCAAAACTACAAAAAATAGTTATGGAAAAATGAGAAGGGCTTCCTTAAACTGTCAAAACAGGGACCTTGACGTATTTTATCATCTATGAACATAAAATTCCACATTAAAGTCTCTTTTATTTGAAAAATTCGTCTGAGACTAAAAAGACCCTAAAAAGGGACTGGACCCTTTTATGGAGGCAACAAATGTGAAGGACCTTCTTATAGAAGTAATAAAAAAACATGGATCTTAAGGCCTATTATCCTCTATGAACATACAAATTCCAGGTTTAAACCTCTTCGATTTCAAAATTCAAAAGACCGCAATGACCGTCAAAATATGTAATAAGATATTGGACAAGAAGAAATGAAAATGACCTGCATTGATGTTTTGCCAAAACTAGGCCCACCTACAGCCGAAGCGCTATGTTAAAAAAAATTTGACATATGTATATTTCCAATGGTTCAAGAATAAATTTTAATACACTCTGCGTCTCAAAAAAATCCAGGCTTCTACCTCTGATAGTTCTCGAAAAAAAATCCTTGAAAAATCTTGCATTCTCCTTAACATTCTCTCCTTTAGTTTTAGGATATTGTTCATGATAGTCCTTGAAAAATTCTTTATAATCCGGGGTTCTTCTTTAAAATCATGGCTTCAAGCCACAATGACCCTTTCAACAAACATTTATTAAAATTTTTGGCGTATATTTCAAATGGTTTAAAAATAAATTTTTATTTCAATCCACTCTTCGTCACACTAAAAATCCAGGCTTCTACCTCTGATAGTCCTCGAAAAAAATATTCCTTGAAAATTCTTGCATTCTCCTTAACATTCTCTCCTTTAGTTCTGATGGTTTCTCAAAAATTCCTTAAAAATCTGGACTTTAGCCATGGTTAGTTAGTTGTTTGAAGTTAGCTGGCTTGTTACTGAACGTTTGTTCCATAAGCCGAACCAGAAAAAGATTTCCAAGAGCGTCGGTCTTGTACGCATCTCCTACAATTTGAAAGACCACGTTCCAAGATGTTTTTTTATACATGGCCTTGAAAAATACATTATTATCCGGGTTTCTTCCTAATCCCTTAAAATAGGGTGTATTCCTATGATTCTCGCCTTAAGCCCCTAAAGACACAAAAAAGCTCAACTGCAGCTGTAGTAGTCCTCAAAAAATATGCCTAAAACATGCGGGATTATTCCATTTTTAACCACGAAAAATGTTCCTTAAAATTCGGGCAACTTTCTAAAAAATTTCGCTATAAATATTGTTTAAAAAAATTTTATTGATCTAATGGTCCTCGAACCATTAGTGCCAGAGACAAATTTAAACAAATCCATGGTTAGCCACAGAAAAAAAAATAAAAAAAAAAAATTCACGATTTTTCTAAGAGAAGAATTTTACAAAATATGTACTTAATCCCAGAGAAAATATAAAAATACCACGCTTAGTCATCCAAGAATATAAAATTCCATATGTGACATTCAAAATAGGTAATGGAACCAGTCCATATTCGGTCGGATATTGTGGACTTAAAAAATCTGACACGTGTTAGCCCTTCTAATATTTGTGTAACTAATTTGAACATTCAACACCAACATACCTACCCAGATTACGAAATGAGGCCACAATCCGTCAAATAAAACCATCGTGCAACCGACCAACTTCAACACATTATTTCGCATAGATATTATCATCTCCCATTATTATTTTTTTTTTTTCGAATAACGATCACATCTATCCACAGCCTTTCCCACAGAGAAATTCAACGGTCAAATCATCAGAAATTTTTATAAAATATCCTCACGATTACATCAGAGGTATTGAAAAATTCTCAACCTCGACTATGCTACTTCAAGGTGTCATGAGACCCTGTCATGATCAATGCTGGTCAAACTTTAGATACAATATATGCGTCGTCGGAATTTTATTGAATACTTACTTGACTGAATACTTAGGAGAGAGATTGAATCAATGTGTTGCCTTATTTAATCTCTTCAAACACGACCGCACTTATATGCTTTGCAATAAAAACACTTATATATAATTTTTGTGACGGGAAAGACCTTGCTGGGAATCTTTGCCCGAAGAATTCACGTTTTAATTTCTCTCTGAACAAACCACCAACAACGCCACGCTCACGGGGATCATAGTCTACAATATTTCATCGATGAAATATTCATCTATCTACGATAAGAATATGGAGGTACGAACAAGGTCTCCCAAGAATTAAGATGACTTCGTGACCTCCTAAAATTGCGATAAGTTTGTCTGTGATGAGCTGTTTTGCACAACTTTGTATGCTTTATTCTGGGAAATCATTTCTGGGAACAAATTGCAACTGGGGATTTATGCAGAACCAAATTGGCAGCTTAGTCATAATTTAGAGGTCCATATATAAGTTATTTTTATTGCAAGTTAGGTTCGTTTAATTTGTATTTGGTAACCTTTGACTAATTTTTTAACTTTCCCCAGACCCATTCCATAATTCCTTTAGTAATTTGCAGTTTTTTTAGTTCCTCGACTCTGTTCATTTATTTATTTTTTTTATTTTTCTCATTTCAGATATCAAACAGAAGGCAGCCGCGGTGCTGTAAAAGATCGGAGCGGCAATGGTTTTCCCATTGTCCGCCTGGGTGGCTATAATAAACCAACAACATTACAAGTATTTATTGGTACCGATATCGGGCGAGTGGCGCCGCATATGTTTTATCAGGCCTGCAAGGTGGCTGGCAAGAATTCAACACAGTGCAATGAGAAGAAGGTGGATGGTACCGTTGTCATTGAAATTGAATTCAAACCAGAGCAAGATATGACCATTACCTGTGATTGTGTTGGTATACTGAAGGTAAGGGAAGCATATCTAATAAATATACATGGGATTTTGCATCTATTGGTCTGTTCCCGTATTACAAAGGAAAAAAATAAAGGAAAATTCGTTATCTAAGTAAGTAAGTAGTAGATTCTTGCAGTGCGGGAACAGATCAAATATTTTAGAATTAAAATATATATATATATATATATTTAAGTATATTTACTCTAAAATCATATTTTTTTACAATAAAAATCTACTTTACAAGTTCGTTTTCAATCGGTTGATAATTTAAAAATATGCAAAACCCGATGTGTATAAATATCCAAGAATTTCCTTTACCTCTTTTAAATCCTTTTTTCCAGGAACGCAATGTCGATGTTGAACATCGTTTTCCCGAACATCTTGCCCAAAAGAATAAAAAGAAATCGACACGCTGTCGTATGGTATTTCGTACACAATTGACCCATGACGATGGTACCGTCGAAACGTTACAAGTCTGTTCGAACCCCATTATATGCAGTAAGTGTACCTATATCTACTTTTTATTGACTTTATAAATAATTTAATATTTGTTTTCCTACAGCCCAACCACCCGGTGTTCCCGAGATCTGTAAAAAATCTCTCAACTCTTGCCCAGTCGATGGTGGTCTCGAATTATTTATAATTGGTAAAAATTTCCTCAAGGATACACATGTAATATTTCAAGAGACTTATGAAACAAATATGCCCACCAAAGATGAATCTGGTACAACGGATTTAACGCCATTGCATCATCAGCCATTGATTGGTGCACTATGGGAACAGACTGTTATTCCGGATAAAGAATATTTACAACAGGTTGGTATTAGTTAAGAAATAGGATTTTCTTCAACAATTGACAAGACTTTTTAAATAAAAATACAAACAAGGTTGTTAGCTCTAATTGAAAAATTTGTATTTAAAATTCGAACGGCTAGCTATGGTAATACAATAATTCAGGCGAGTAGATCTGAAAGCCTTAAAAATAAAAAATAATGGTCACTGAAAAATTTGCCTAAAAATGTACATTCTTAGTCCTGATGGCCTAAACAGGAATATTTTAAAATATTTTTTAAAGTATTTAGAATAACCTCACAAATTGTTTTCAAAAAGGTCTTAAACAAATCTTGCTTAAAATTTTGAACATTCTAAAAAAATTGATGTTGAAATCATTTCAAAAAATATTCATTAAAATCTTGCCTTCAAGCCACGATGGGCCTTAAATAAATATTTACTAAACTTTTTTGCGAATATTTACGATGGTTCAAGAACAGGCTTCTACCTCTAATAGACCTTGATAAAATGTTGCTTGAGAATTCTCACATTCTGCCTAAACATTCTCTCCTTTAGCTCTTACTTACTTAGCTGGCTTGTGACAGAACTTTCCTTCCGTAAGCCGAGCATAGAAAAGATTTCCAGCCGCGGCGGTCTATTGCGCAGTTTTTCCAATTTGAAAGACAATTTTTCTTCTTCAAGCCTTCGACTTGATCTTTCCAATGTATTCTTGAACTTCCCTTTCTGCGTGAACTATCAGCTGGTTCGCTTTTATATGCCTTCTGGGCTGGGGCATCTTCATTCATTCTCACAACATGACTTAGTCAACGTAGTCCCTGCAGGTCAATACATCTTCTCGCCGTTTACTGCCAGATCCACTTTGGCAGACTCCTTCTCAATTTGTTCAAAGGTGGCTGTTACCGCTCCCAATGTTCGACGATGTCAACGGTGTAGGCGAGTAACATGCGTTGTTTCGTGTACAGAGTACCATTTCTGTTCACTTTTGCCTCTCGTATGACCTTTTCCATCAGGATGTTAAAAAGGTCACACGGCAAACTATCACCTTGTCTGAATCCTCGTTCAGTATCAAAGGGCTTCGTGAGGTCCTTTCCGACTTTAACAGCTGATCTTGTGTCAGTTAAAGTTATCCTGCATAGCCGAATTAATTTTGCAGGAATCCCAAACACAGACATGGCTTTATACATCTCTGAACGGATAGGACTGTCGTATGCGGCTTTATAGTCGACGAATATGTTGTGGAATGTGTCGATGTGTTTTTGTGGGTTTTTTTCAGGATTTGGCGCAGAGTGAAAATCTGGTCAATGGTAGATTTGCCAGATCTGAAGCCACATTGGTATGGTCCAATAATGTCATTGACCATTGACAGCAGTCGTTCACGCAGTACGCTGGATAGCACGTTATATGCGATGGGAAGGAGACTTATTGCTCTATAGTTGGCACATATCGTCTTGTCTCCTTTTTTGTGCACGGGACACTGGATGCTGAGGTTCCAATCATTGGTCATGCATTCTTCTATCCAAATTGTACTGATCAGCTGGTGCATGCTCCTTACCAGCATCAGACTACCAGTCTTGAATAGATCGGCTTGCAACCCATCGGCACCTGCTGCTTTATTATTCTTCAGCCGATTGATTGCTATTCTGACCTCATCTTGGCTAAGTGGTATACACTCTATACCATCATCTATTATTGGTTCTGGGGTATCCTTTTCACCGCCACTCTTTGATACCAGAAGTTTTTCAAAATGCTCCTTCCAGATCCTCAGCACGCTGTCTGTATCTGTCACCAGGTTTCCTTCTTTATCTCTACAGGAAGATGTGCCTGCACCAAAGCCTTCGGTTTGGTGTTTTACCCGTTGGTAGAATTTTCGGACTTCATTCTGACTCCTCTACATCTCGATTTGCTCACGCTCACGTTTTTCTTGCTCTTTCTTCTTTTTTCTGAAAATACGTTTCTCCTTTTCTCCCGATAGTTCTCCATCGCATTACGTGTTGCTGCTGTCCGCAGGGTTACCCTATACGCTGCGTTTTTCATATCACTAGCATTATGACACTCCTGATCGTACCACGGATTTCTTGATGGTGATCTTTGATACCAAAGTGTTGCTTTTGCTGCAGTTTGTAGGGAGTGGGCAATTCTCTGCCAATGTGATTCTATATTATTTAGCTCTGATGGGTTCTAAAATATATGTCATAAAAATTCTCACCTTTAGCTCTGTTAGTCGTCGTCGGAAAAATATGGCTTAGTCCTTGGGAAAAATATGGCTCTTCGGGAAATATATGGGATTCTTGCTTTCGTTGTCCACGACAAATGTTCTTTAAAATCTGGTCTACTTCCTAGATAAAATCTACGTTTATTGGTCAAAAACTATTATCGAAAAAAAGGTCCCCCTTAGATCTAATGATCCCCGAAAAAGATTCTTAAAAAAATCTATCCTCGAAAAATTAGTCCCACGAACAAATCTTAAAAATAGCCAACGCTTATGGGGAAAAATACACGCTTATCATTGAAAACTATCCTTAAAAATCTGAATTTATATGAAAATGTATCTAATTTTTATTATTTTTTTCTTTTTAGACCCATTTAATTTGCACAGTACCCCCGTATATCCATCAGAATATCATGAAACCCGTTACCGTACAAGTGGCAATTATATCGAGCGGCAAGAAAAGTGAACCGCATACCTTTGTCTATACACCGAAGGGAACCTATACGCCATTGGCAGCGGCCACCACATTAAGTTCCGCTGCAACGCCACAGGTATTACTTAGCGGCGGCAGTGGTAGCGGATCCGGTACACACAGCGGCAGCAGTAGTGGTCTCAATGGTGGCGCCAATAGTATTGGCACTACTAACGGATCCGGTGGAGGAGTCAACAATAGTAACAATAACAACAGTAGCTTATCATCAACTCAAGGTATTTGATTTTGTTTATAAAATATTATTATTAATAATAATAGTAGTATAAGTATTATACAATAAGTGAAAAGAACAAAAACAACAAGCACCTTCCCCAGCAATACAGCAATTCATACATATCTACGAAATATGTATGAGTGTGAGAAATTAAAAACAAAAAAAATATTTGCACTATGACGTCGTCTGCTCATTTCGTTGTTGCTGCTGTTTGATTTTTTAACTTTTTTATCTGAGAAAAAATTCAGCGTGAATTTTTTTCTGTAGTGTTTCTTACAAAATGTTTAGTGTTTTGCCGCTAATTTTTTTGTAATCAAAAACTATAATCGGCCTAAAAGTGTGCTTCCTTTTTTATAATACTTTCCCTTCCCTCTCCCAGGGAATAATTACCAGTAACTTGTAAAGTTATGCCAAATATGTATTTTAACTTCTTTCTCTTTCTTTCCCTGGCGACGTTTTTATCTTTATCAGCAAGCAAATATTTATAATATTTACTGTGATTTAATCTCGATTCAATAGTTTGAAGCAGTAACAATTAACGCTTATTGACAATCGCATTACGAATTATCTAACAAAAAAAGGCATAACACAACTTAATTGCGGATTTTTAAGATTATTTCTTGAAATTAATGTACATATTTCAAAAACAAGAAACAAGCAGATACAACAACAACAATATCATCCGAAACAACTATTATAAATAATTGCAGATAGGCGCATTACATTGCAGCAGTTTGCTGCAACTCTCTCCTCACATCGTTTTCATTTTTTTTCGAATAATAATTTTATTATTATTATAAGTTTATTATTTGTTTTCTTTATGTCAACAACAATAACCAACCACAACAAAGTGAAATCATAAGAAAAATAAAACCAAGTGTATTGCAAAATAATAAGAAGAAAATAATGAAGATTATTGGTCTATAAAAAAACCTTTTTTTATTATGTTAATTTGTGTCTAATTGATATTAGTTTTATTATTTTGTTTTTAATTATAAAGCAAAAAAAAGTGCAACAAAATTGGAATATAAATTTATTTAAACGGCGTATAGCAGCTCAACGATCTAAATATTTAAAAAATAATTATATTTATTGCCTCAATGTAAAATCAAAATAGTAATTTAAAATTTAATAAGTAAAAAGTTTTTAAAATACGTTTAGAATGTATATTAGATTTTTTTATAAATAATCGATTATAGAGAAACAATAATCATTAATGTTAACCGGTTTAAGTTATGTGGCTATCAAATAATATATAATATAATGCGGCTTACAAAAATCTCACCTACCCTGTAATTACTGTTTTGAGCTGATTATAATTTCATAAGATTTATGACATTTGCAATTGATTTAAAAAATCTTTAATGGACTTCCAAAAATATTCCTAAAAAATCTACGTTTAGATTATGGATGTTCCTTCAAAAAAATATGCTTTCAAAACTATTCACAAAAAAAAATCCCTTTGGGCGTATGTCTAAAAAGTATTTACAGCTTGAGCGAGGTTACCTCAACAAACTAGAGTGGTTTTGCTACAACTGAAATGTGGAGAGTACATCCGTCTAAATTAGTATTGACCAAGTCGCAGTTCAACTTTTCGGTAATGTCCAACATGATACTCTACACATTTTTTATTACCCAGACAAATTCGCCAATCTAATGCCATCATTATTAAGGTCTAAATATCCAATTTTAAACCTGAATTTAGAAGCAGAGTCACATTCGATTAGCCGAATACACACAACACAACAAGCTTTCAACAACAACATTTCTTTCTGTTATTTCGGGATGCTGTGTAATAATGGAAGACCTAGAGATATAAGCTCAGGGCAGTTATAGGGGAATGATTTAACGTATAAGACATTCTGACAGGCTACTGGCGATTAATGCCGCGAAGAGCCATGATTCTAAACAGGGTTTCCAATAGATTTGTTGGCATTCCATTCCAAGGTTTTGAGGGAGGTGTGTCAATATGCTAATATTACCGTAACATTTTCTAAATAAATCGTCATATGTCCTCCATAGTCTCACCAATTCTTTGATGTCTTGAAGCAACGCTGGGTCGTTGGCTTTGGATCATTTGCATACATATCAAGGATGCAATCAGCAAAGACATGAATTTGTTTATGATCGAAATGAACGTTTAGAATGCTTAGGAACCAATATTAATACCAAAGAATTACAAGGATGGGACAAACCTTGATTTTCTTAAGACCTTTGGCCTACAGGTTGTTGAGCAAAGTACACGGATAAATATATTCGCAATGCTAACTTGCCCTCACAGTTTGAATTTTTCCACCAATTTCGGATTTGCGGTCCCACAAATACAAGGTGTTCAAACTAGTGAATTTTCATATTTTTAATGTTTCTACTTGTCCCAGAAAAAAACCTTCAAACTATGAAGATTCCATATCGGATATATTTCACGCCCAAGGGGATATGATATGTTAAGGAAATAAACGTAATTCCTTCTTAGCATCCTTGATTTGAAAAATCGTAAACGGAAGATGATGTCTGAAAGCCGAACAGCATCTTGGAAGAATATAAAATGAAATTCAGATTAAATATTGTTCTGCCAAATAGACGAACCAATTATTTGAAAACTGAAGCTTCCAGCATTCAGACTCGATATTACCTTTGAATGAGAGTTCGGATTGTATGCAATCCGTTAGTAAAAGTCGTACCAGTTCTCCTAGGTTGTTCTGTATTAGCATTCTTTCAAATATGTTTCTATTTGAATTTTAAGATTGCCCATCAATTTGCTGCTGATCATATTTGCTAAGCAAAAAATCCAATTTGCCATTAGCACCCAACAGACCCCCCATTCACAATTGATCAAAATGCTGGGTATGGTGTTTCCTTCGGGCATTCAGACTCGTTTAACAACAATAACTATTGCCAACAGTCATCGTAAAAAAAACCTGGCTGTCTGTGAATTTCTCTGTCCATTGATGGGATTTTCATCGTCCTATAGGAGTTTGCCTGGACTCAAGTCCAACTGAGTAATAATTGAATAAAAGTAAAAATCAATGTATCCCTGAAAGTATGCTTTATTTTTAATTATATTTTTAGAGTGTGAAAAAATTGTTTCGACATCTATTTTTCACTACTACTTTTGAACATGGTTGTTTTCCTGTTTGTATAGATATTTAATATGGAGGATTGTCTATGGAGATTACTTCGTTCTATTATATTTCTTTAAATCCAGTTTAGAAAATTTGTTTCATTTTTTGTAGCCTATATTTTTTTTTTTTCAATGGAATACAATTTATTAAATAACTTCATTAATCAAACGAACAATTCAATATTCTTTTTTTATTGACGGCTAATTTCTGTTTCTCTCCCTTTAAAATAAATTTCCCGTTTGACGTTTTCCAGCATTACTTGATTTGCGTGCATTGGATGAACGGCTAACTAATTTCATTTTCAACATTTCCGCTTGACATTTCGATGCAATGACAGCTACCGCCAAAGCAGCACCACGTCCAGAACCATCTTCGGATAACATAATTTTAAATTTATGTTCAGGTTTTACAAGTTGTACAATTTTTCCAGTTAAAAGACAATTATAGATTGGATGGTGATGGGGTAATATACCATCAATGGCTATTGTGGTTAAAGGATCCCCGACACGATCTATGAGACTGGCAATAATGGCAGCTACCATATATGCTGAGCGCCTCAATACAATGCGGCATATTTTACAAACCTTATCACAATCGAAATCCGTTGGATTTTTATAACCCAATTTTTCAAGAATTTCACGTGTCATATCATGGTTGTGGAGATTATGAGTTTCAATAAGGAAAATATATTCCAATTTAAAGGCACCTTCTTGGCGCAGCTGATCACTAATATGACCTTTGAATAAGAGTTCGGATTTAATGCAATCAATTAATATTAGGCGTACAAGTTCTTCTAAGCTGCTGTCGATTAGCATTTTTTCAAATATATTTCCATTTGGATTTTGAGATTGCCCATCAATTTGCTGATCATATTTGCTAAGCAAAAAATCCAATTTGCCATTATCACCCAATAGACCCCATTCACAATTCATCAGCATACTGGGTATGGTATTTCCTTTGGGATTTTGATATATTGTCAGATTTCTTAACTTTTCCACATAGCAAGCTTTGCAGCCATTTGCATCAAGATTTAAACCAATTTTACAATTTATATTCCTCCAGGCACCATTAATGAGAGTACCAATTGGATCGGTAATAAGAATCAAAATTTGTATTTTAATATCATTACGACGTTCAATGGCCTCACGTAACATTTCCAGTAGATCTCTTCCCACCACATCTGGACAATTTATACTTTTATTATCCAAGCCGATAAGTTCTGCCTTATTGATGGCAGTTTGTTTCACCGGGAAACCAAAATTCAATGCCAATGGCAAACTTTCTTCCGCATCATTTACATGAAAAGTTATTAAAAATGTCGACAAAGATTCAGCAATAAAATTGAATATTTCCTCTCCAGGACCGTTGAGTAATTTCGTGGGAATTTCATAAATTTTAGAATCCATATGAAAATCTTTTTTACATTTCAAATAAATTGCCACAATTCGAAAATTCGTATCACTCCAATCAATAGCTAAAAATGTACCATTTTCACAGCCTCCGGGTAATTCTTGAATATAGGTAACTGATGGTTTTGACAGGGACTTGGTATGCGTGTATTTGCAAAGGCCCATTTGAAGGTCATTGAAGAAAATCTCCTTTATTTTTTGTAATTTTTCATTATCCAAGATTAGTGGTTGAAGAAGTTCTTCGATCATACGGTCATTTGCCTCCTCGGGTGTTTCTGTGGGATTTTGCTCTGCAATAATATCGTTGGACATGATTTTGGTGGAAGATTGAACACGAGAAGGATTTT